GTGTGGGTGTGGGTGTGGGTGTGGGTGTGGGTGTGGGTGTGGGTCTTCTCTAAGTCCATGCACACCCATACCCACGCCCACGCCCACACCCACACTTCTACAGCACACACCCACACCCACAACCACAACCACACCCACACTCACACCCACACTCACACCCACACCCACACCCACACCCACACCCACACACCCACACCCAAACCCACATCCACCCACACAGCCGTATATGATGCCTATTAATTTTCTTCAAAGCGAACCGAACTGAACCGATCAGATTTTTGAGAAGTTCAAACCGAACCAATTTCGATTCGGTTCGGTTCGGTATCAAACCGGACCGATTCCGTCACTGGTTTGTTGAAAAAATTGGCGTGAATCGATTTATAGCCACTAGTAGGTGTGAGAGGTCTCGAAATCACACTGATTACGAATGTTCACTCTTCAGGCTTTCGAACTTTGCGTTTGTCTCAGAAACCGACCGTTTGACGAAACTCGAATTTTCGAACGAGGGAGCGTAAACAATCAACTAGTTTTCTCTCTTTTCTTCTTAAGAGGCAATCAGAGTGTGTTGTGACAACCTGCGCTACGCGCACAAATAAAACGCGAAGGAATACCGGTACGAAAATAAACTTTAATGGTGACTGCGGCATGAAGTGGCAGAACGAAAGTGACCGGTTGTGGAGAAAATAGGTAAAGTGCATCAACACAAATTTTAACAAGAATATATGTGAAAATGTGAGTGTTCTCTACTTGGCGTGTTGCAATGGGGATCTTGCTACAGTGCAATGCCTTCTATCCACGGCAACATTGAACGAAATTAATCAATTAGAGCCAAACGGTAGCACGAGTTTACACATTGCTTCTTATGGAAATCATTTAGAGATCGTCAAGCTGCTTCTCGAGTGTGGTGCCGTACAAAGCACGTTGAACAAATACGGTTTGACCGCGCTCGACGAAGCAGTCACAGCAGAAGTAAAAGAGGTCTTTAATCGCTCAGCTGCAGCAACACAAGCACGCTTTACAAGTGATATGCCAGCTCGACAATTACAGTGGGTAATTTCGGATAATAAACGTTACTTACCGATACAATTGGCCAACTGGAATCACAAGAATGTTGATCATAGTGATGTGGCACTGGCTGCTTGCAGCATTTTAACAGACGAAAGATTTCAAGGTGTGTCAGGCATGAATAAGATACAGTACTTCCTTGAACAGGCTATCAAAACGGATGATCCCATTTGGTTTGTAAAGGCTTATACGGCTGAAACTGGCTTTTATGGTAAAATTAACGTCCTCCTAGCAGAGAGCCCACATGTTCTCGGTCTCGATCCTATACGTGAGCGTATTTTTGCTTTCGTCGGCTGTTTTGGAGGCCATGAAAAATTTGAAAAATACCGGTATACTGGGATATCCTATCGTGGAATGAATATTTCTCGAGTACATTTCGAGAAAAATTACGCAGTTGGTAAATATATTCTGATTAAGCCGTTCACATCGACGTCAAAACGTCGCGAGGTGGCCGAGCAATTTGCGGTAGCTCCATCTGCTGAATCTCAATCACTCGCCGTCTTGTGTATTTACGATACAAAATGCACCATATGGGATATTTTGACTCGCCGTCGTAGCCCGCTGGTTGCTCTTGATATTTCCTCCGTGTCTGAATATCCGAACGAAGAAGAAGTGCTCATCGTTCCTCATTCATCGTTCAAAATCCGAAGCATTGTTACCGACTCACGCTCCGGATTAATCAGTATTAAGCTGATTCACAAAGCGTCGATTGATTAAAGGGTAACGTGCGAATAAGACCAAATTAAACCAATTTCTTTGCATTCGTTTTTATATATACACGCAGCTTGACGAGCTGGTCAAGAATATGTATGCTTTAATTATTTTAAAATGACTTTGAATGTATAATCTTCCATTTTTTCGATAATTCTACAGGGTTTTCGCTGAAACATCAGTTATGACATAAAAATGTTCCCCGCTCTTGTGATATCTATCCAGATTTTCGGTAGGTCTTGATTCTGGATCAGTTGTTTCCGGATTCAGCATGAAAAAAATGAGTCTAGAAGGGTGTGGGTGTGGGCATGGGTGGGTCTGGGTGTGAGTGTGGATGAGGGTGCGGATGTGAGTGTGTAAAGATTGAATGCACGACCACAGTTCCATTCGCACCCACATCGACACCCTATAAAAGTATTTCAATTACAATTAAAGTTTTTATTCAAAAAATTCTATAAAAACAATAAAGTATTATATAAATCTTGAAAGATAATGGTAAACTTTAAAAAACAACATGATGATGACAAAAATTCTCTTTATAATTTATAGAGAACAGGTACATCAAGTTTTTCATATGATTGAACAAGTGGATAACATGACAATTTACTTTTTCATATATAAACATTGTCAATCCGTTCAAACTGGAAAAATAAAAACAAAAAAGTAAAGCAAAATAGATCAATAATAATTTTACCTCTGGTAAATCAATCTCTTGTTTAGCTAAAATATTTTCTGTTTCAGTTGATTGAATTGTTTCATGACTTGTCTCAGTGGTTACAGCAACATCTTCTTCATTAATAATTGAAGATGATTCTCCATGAATAATATCTGTTAATTCATCCTTATTTTCAACAGTATCTGTTTCATTAGTCTGCATTTGAAGTGCAAATGAAGATGAATTAACATGAACAGATAATTTACGTCGATAAATTGAATGTGGTGATATATAATGATCATAGAAACGAAGTAAATCATCACGTTCTAATGTTTTTATTATTTCAGCTTCAAGTGGAACTAGAAAGCAAACTTTTAATTACAAATATTTTTGTAACATTTGTTCTTACGACGATCGAAACAAAATTGATGATTAATTATTTCATTCCAAAATTGATTTCCTTAATCATGCATGTTTTTTGGTACTTCCACTTTTTTAACAATATAACCTTCACGTTGTTTTTTAAATAGTTCATCAGACATTGTTGAAATATAATTCTATTTAAAATAATAATTTGTATCATTTTCTCTTCGTTAGTTTGTGCGTTTAGACGTTCTCAGAGACAATTTACAATGGATTTGAAACAGTCATATACAACATTAGAGATCCTGTAGTCCGAGAAAATTTTTCGTAAAACAGAATTGTCTAGAAGATGATATACAATATTTATTACAGTCTATGACACTGACAGGTTAATGCTTACGATGTTTGCCACCTTTTTATGCGACGAAATATATCACAACTAACAGCTTCTCATCACCAAATATGTGTTAGAAGTATCTAGTAATATAAGAGATATTATTAAAGCTCTCTCATTTACAACATCAGTCAATTTTTGACGTTTTCATGTATTAAATTTGCCATATCTTTAGTCTCTTATTGATAAATTAATCAAGGTAGATTTATTTTATACTATTAAATAATATCTTCTGAAGTAATATTCTATTCTTTTTTGTTTTCTTACATACTCTTATCGAATCAATAAATAATTCAATACGTTGATTAATATAACCAAGTTCTCGAGTTGATTGAACAGTAACACTGAAACCTTGTACACCACATGAACACCATAGCTATGAATTAATGATGTAACCTAATTGTTCTTTGGTTCGTAATTGATTAAAACAAGGTTGCTTAACTAAATAAGAAAATAATCCAAGTAAAGCATTATTTTCAAGTGTTTCTTGAAAACATTGTAAATATATAACGATTGCATTTAATTTATATGCATCATTAAACATTGTATATGCATAATTACAACCTAAGAAAATATTCAATTTAAAATAAATAAGAGAAATCAAACAAACCATCGGGTAATATTAATTCACGTTGATTAAACCACATGCTATGAAAAGTGGTTGATAAAAAGATTTTTCTTGAAATTTTTGTTCGACTAAAGTCATATATTCAATTGCTTGCTATTCAAAAAAACAACGAGAAATATTCAAATTGAAATCAAACAAACAAAAAAAATAAATCTTCGTACATTTTTTGTTAAATTTCCATACATTAATGAATCACTATAAAAACGTTTTAATATTCGAGTAATGAATGATTCTACATCATGCATTGTAATATCTTACAAAGAAAAATGAAGAAATTCTTTTTTTAAAATTAACTTTTTTAAATCTACCATCAAGACAACTAAGTAATTCATTATTATTCCAATAATATTCAGCTGTTAAATACGTAAGACCAGAATTTGCCATTGCAGAAGGAACACAACGACGAAAAAATTGTAATGATTGTTTAACCTAGAAAAAATATTTCAATAAGTTTAATCTCTCTTATTAATTGAATTACTTTTTCTTTAATTATTTCAAATTGTTCTACTTCTATTTTAATATTAATCATATGATCAATAATTATATTAAGTAATTCTTTTATTTTATGATTAAATCCAGAAATACTTAACTAGATAAAAACCAAATAAAAGAAATTATTTTTATTGAAAAATTAATATTAATATACTTGAATACTATCATTGCAATCATAGAATTCATAGTCTAAACCTCCAAATTGTGCTTGATAGACAAATTCAGTTAATGAATCATTTCTTCAGGATAACAAAGACGATAATATTTATTTTCCTTTTTAGAAAAAAAATCTAATTTTTAAATTAAAATCAAGAGAATAACTTTTTGCTTTAATCGTTGTTGGTATTTGTGGTCGTGTAAGATTTTTCTCTTTGGAAAATAATTGAAAATCTGTCGGAATAAATTTATTTGGTATTGGTAAATAAAGTTCACAATTAATTTCACATGTTTCATATTGTTTAATAAGTTCTTCTGATAAATATTCTTGTTTATATTGTGTACCATACCATTTTTCTTTTTCTCTTGCAATTGATAGAAACTCTTTACTTGTGAGAAATACTCTTAAAAAACATTCAAATGGTTTTGAAAATAAATTTCAAGTCTTTTTTTTACCTCATTTTACTTGGAATTAAATATTCATTAAGAAGTTCATATATTAAATCTGAACGAAATTCACGCATTTCATATGGGCCAGATAAACATTCACTTAATGGATAATCCTAAAAAGAAAATCGGAAAAAATTCAAATTGATATTTTCTTATTTAGATATACATACCCTCATTCTACCAGCTAAACTTGATACAATATAACGTAGCTGTCCTTTTTCTTCAAATTGAAATTCCATTTGATTTATATTCTAAACATAAAACAATACAAAAAAAAATTTTTTTTTCTTCAAATTTAACTCTTCACCCTACTTTGCCTTCATTA